AAAAAAAAAAAAAGTCTTTTTATAGGATTACACAATTACTGGTGAACCAGTAGTTTCCATTGTGGTCCTTGCAAACAAATGAAACAAATGGTCTAAATTGAACATAACATCATTAAGAACATCATTAAGAACCCCAACCAGCCGGAGGCAAACCAGTTGGCTATTTACAAGCGTGGCCAAGGATCTGAACTCGGGGCTACCGTGAAACAAATCCAGTGGTCAGGGTGGGACTTGAACCCGGGAGCGGTGGATTACAAGTCCAACACTGTAACCACTCAGCCACACTGCCTCCTTGGCAGTGTTTTCAGTCGTTTTCAGTTCCTGCAGATAAAAAGCCTTATAGGATCAAGTTTAAGTGTTCATGGTTTTCAAGGCTCACATAGTAAAATTCTTGAGAGGTTACAAAAGCACAGAGTTAGTATTCAAGTACTGGTCTATGGATACTTGAATCTTGAACAGATTTATTTTTGGCAGACAAGAATACAATAATATCTCCAAAAAACAAATTTCTGTATATGTTTTCACTGTTTGATCAGCAGATTTTCTCACCCAATGGTCCAGCTTTAATTACCTCTTGACCTCCCAAGATAATAAATAATAATAATAATAAATAATGTATTTCTATAGTGCATTTTCCTAATGCCCAAATGCACTTTACAGTGTGAAATAATTATAACCTTTACACTAGAAAATGTAAAAAAGTCCTAAGAATCGAAAATATCAAATGTCTAAAAGTCCTAAAAAAGATCTGATTGTACAATCTCCCTTTTAGCTGCTAAAAATTTCTTTGTAAATTAGCAGAGAGAACTTGCTGTTACATAGAGATAACTTCTTCCTGATGAGTTTGAGTCTTCTCATCACCCGTTTTACTGGAAAATGTGTGGATTTTACAAGGAGAAGTTACATGGTAATCAATTCTGGGTGTTTAAGGGTTCAATTCTGTTAGTCAAATGAACTTACCTTGATGACCTTAGGTAGCCTGTATATAGTGACAACTGGGGCCAGTCCATTTCATTCTCTACAATAAAGGCAAGGTGTTCAAAAGCTCTGTCACAAAAGAGGGGTGCTGTCAGCCATTCTGGGGGGATGTGAAAGTGGGCTGCCACTGAGTCACCAAGAACAATGACACCAAGATATCCTGTCTCTGGAAAAGAAATCAGCACATACATGTATGCATATTGTAAGACTCTCTTTTTGACAAACTAACTTGTGATGATGTACAGCTACTGTATCTAACAATATATGTAATTTTTATTTTTGCTGGACACATTATTATTTAAAATACTCAATTTCTCCATTGACTTATTTTTTTAGAAGTTTAATTTGCCTTCTATAAAACCCTATAAAATAGGTAGACTACCAAAATACTTGGATTTGTGACTACAATATAAATAACTCAATATTTCCACTATTAACTATTTTTGTTCTAAGGTAGGTAATTGGTCACATATTCTATTTGAAAGTCTGAAAAGAATGGCTGAAGTTGAACACATCTCACAAATGCAGGACCAGTCAAGCTCTGAGGGGTGTTACGAAAACGAAGACCCTCCAAAACGAAGACCTAAGATCCGGTTTTCGTTTTCGTAGTGCGAAAACGAAGACCCTGTAAACAGAAAACTGTAGAAATTACAACTTAAACAGACATTAAACAGCAACAACGCTTAGTAATATACATTACACTTCACGCGTTTCTTCCCATTATTATCCGTACTATCATACGGCCCGTGTTGTCTGTTCTGTTTCGCT